AACTGTCTCAATAACTGCTATTCTGAATGATCATAATATGTCACATATTAGGATTTTGGGCGGCTCGAAGGTTTGGGCGAAAACGAGGTTGTCGCGCTGAGCGACAGTGAGGCACTCCATTCGTCCAAACTCTGGGAGTCATGCAGGCTTGGGCGATGATGTTACTGTGTTCGTGGGTTCCCTCTGTACTTACCAATAATCTCATTTGGGCCTTTGTCCTGGACCTCCAATTGAGCTTCACTCTTTGGGCTATTCAATCTGGCCTGTACTTTCAGTGTGTCAACATATACTCTGTGTCGGACTTTCACACAATACCGTGAATCACAAACTTAAATCACATTCTAAAGTAAAATAGAACATGTTAACTTGATTTGCATCACATTCAAATACCTTCAAATAACATAGTCTATCTCAAATTACTCACTTTGTTTAAGAAGACGTGACTTCAATAGAGTGGACTTACACAAACAAATTTACATAGTTGTAGTCAAAAAAATATAAATGCATTCGATGTTCTTGATGAAAATAAGTGGATATTGATTGTTAGTTTTTGTCCATTAAACCAATGCTCCAAGAATAAAGCTACTCAAACATGGGAAATTTATAGGATTTGGTGACGAGTGCCATGTGACAGCACTTGTCTGGCTGTTTTTTTTTTTCTAATTGTTAGATGAAAGAATGACACGTGTCCCTCTATTCTAAATTATGTCATCGAACATGTTCATGTAGCAATGCACCAAAGGTGGGGCAATGATATACTTGTAATTAAAACATTCCAACGTGAATGAGCAAAAAGTATTGCTGGAGGTAAAAAAAATTTTAAAAAGGATTAGAAACGTTTCAATTTGCGATATACCCTCATATCTATTGAAAATTGCAGAAGACCCCTTATTTGAACATTTTGTGCGAAAAATCCCCATGCCATCAACATCCGTCGGATTTTTCGTTAAAAATAATAAAAAAATGTTAAAATTAAAAATAAATAATTGTAATTTCAATACCCAAACTTTTT